GGAACCTAAGGCCTTACATGTGCCAGGCAAATGTTCTACCACTGAGTTGTATTCTTGCCTCAGTAAGTACATATTATGACAGAAAACACTATGTAATGTTATAGACTGTTGGTTTATAACCCCAAACAAGGACAAATACCCACTAGAGCTTATACACTAGCCATTTTAAAGGAGAGAGAGAGAGAGAAAAAAAACCCCTATGACATATGTTGAGTTGAAAAAGTGAAATATAGACATTATGGAAAAAAAAGTCAGGGGAAAAAGATGAAAATCTGACCTGGGAAATAAGAGAATGGAGGAAAAGGGAAGAATTTATTATCTAATATTTGTTTTAGAAGTGTTATTTGCAGAGTTGAGAATGAATGAGGGTCTTGAAGCTCTTCCTATGCTTTCTATTCATTTTTGTTGTTGTTGTTGTTGTTTATAATACAGTCAGGTGAACAGTAAAGGGACTGAAGATCTGTAAGGGGGAGTAAGTGGGGAAATCTACTCAAATTGAGCAGTTTTTAAGATTTCAGAGGATGGATTTTAGTTCTAGAGAATTAATGACTCTCCATAGAACAGTGCATCAAGGTAAACATCTTAGGCCTCAAAACGCAATTGAAAAAGAGTGGTTTTCAACAGTAAATTGACACACTGGGAACATTTTTATCTGATTTATTCTGAATCTTCAATTAAAAGACTCTATTGAAAGTATTTGGCATGACAGTCCTCTCATTATTGCTTCATAAAAGTCATTACTGAGGTCAACAGCTACAGAAAAAAATGATATGATTTTATGTCAGGTCAAGAAATGCGGAAATATTCTTTTCACTAATGAAAATTTACTTCCTCATTTTGACAAGGTACTTTTTAAAAAACTACTGTCACTCTAGGGTGCTGACACTTTCTTACTTGGCAAAATTTGTATGGTTTTCTGATCTGTAATTCATTCAGTATAATTATTTCCAAGGCTGCTTAAAAGTTAAGTTGTGAGAGAACCACTTCAATGTGACTGAAATTCTGTGGTTGACAGCTAGGTGGTCAGACATGAACCTAGTATCTTTTCCCACACCTCTCTACCTCTCCAAATCATGTTCTTATTAAGATCACAATGTCAGAGCATTCTCTAGCTGTTCAGCCACGTTTTGAGTCACTTATCCTGAGCATGGGCACAGCTGTTGTACATGAACACTCTAGCAGGGGAGAAAGAGAGGATGCCAGGCGTAGCATCCCTGGATCGCAATTATAACAAAGGAAACCCAGGTCAGAACGCTCTTCTCATGGTCTTCAAAGAGCATGCTCCATCATTTTCTGCGGCTGTCTTGCGTATCCGTGCTAGGGAAATAGCTAGTTCCAGGAAGTCAAAGTGGAGAGCCGTCCAGTTCTTGTTCGTTTGCACCTGAGTTCTCTATGCCACATTGTCCATCTCATTCTTTTATTTGATACCCCTATGAATAACCATGGTCTTCATTATTAAGATGAGATCCTAAGTCAGCAGTAACTTGTTAGAAATGCAGTTGTAAACCCCTATTTCTAGGTGAATCATAATATGTGTTTTTAACCAGAAGCTCAGCTTGTATTGGAATCTTTCACATCCACACATGCTCTGGTATCCTTTCTCTGTCAAACCTGTCACCACATAGCATCTTTAGTTCTTTGGTATAGTTACGTTTTCCTTATCTCTCAAGGACAGGCTTTCATATAATTAGTATATTCCAATTCATTTCTATGTTACCCTGAAATATACCCAGAATTCTGGTTTCTTTTCCATCTAGAGTGCACATGTAGGAGCCATTGCCTCTCAGCACTCTTTCATTTCTACCTTACTGACAGCCTGCCACTTTTCCCTTCTCAGCCCCGGGCATTAACACTTTTCTAGGCAAGAGCTCTTGACTAGGGTAAACCAAATGGTCTATCACATTACTTCTGGCTATAGTGACTAGTGACCACAAAGGGATGAGCCTGTGACCACTTTGACGGAATGAGAAAACAACCAGATTGGTCTGGTATTTCAGGGGAGGAAGACGTTTTACTTTTGAGGGGTTTCAAGATGATAGGTTGTTGGGTTCTGGAGTTCCTCTTGTGCTCACTTCTACCTTTAGACCCAGGCAGAAGTGAACTGATGTTCAGTCATTTTCTCCAACCATTCTGCTTTTCATTCTGAAGAACCTCCATGGTCATGGGGACAGGGGGGAATATGCACTTTTAGGCCTCTGTACTGAGCAAGGGAAGCTTTTTATGACTGTTGTGCTCCAAGCTCAGACCTGTAGACTATGTAAGACCCCCTCATTATCAGAATATAACTTGAATGAAAGAGAAGCAGCCTCACCCACCATTTTTCATTTATTATTCATAGCTCATGAAATGTAGCCCCTAAGTCAGTTAAAAGTTGCCTGTTAGCCATGCCCTACCCACACAGACTGAGTTGTTTCCTTTTTTTGTGCTTCCTTTTCTTTCCACAAATTTTGTTAATACTTAACCATTATGGTATTGTGATTTCTTTTTTTTTTTTTTTAGGTTCTTTTTTTTTTAATTTATTTTAATTTATTTTGCAATACAATTCAGTACTACATATCAGCCACGGATTCCCTTGTTCTCCCCCCTCCCGTCCCCCTCACCTTCCCCCCAACCCCCCCCCCCATTCCCATCTCCTCCAGGGCAAAGCCTTCCCCACAGACTGAGGTCAACCTGGTAGACTCAGTCCAGGTAGGTCTAGTCCCCTCCTCCCAGGCCGAGCCAAACAATCCTGCATAGGCCCCAGGTTTCAAACAGCCAACTCATGCAATGAGCACAAGATCTGGTCCCACTGCCTGGATGCCTCCCAAACAGATCAAGCCAATCAACTGTCTCACCCATTCGGAGGGCCTAATCCAGTGGGGACCCCTCAGCCATTGGTTCATAGTTCATGTGTTTCCATTCATTTGGCTATTTGTCCCTGTGCTTTATCCAACCTTGGTCTCAACAATTCTCGCTCATATAAACCCTCCTCATTCTTGCTAATTGGACTCCCAGAGATCCACCCGGGGCCTAGTCATGGATCTCTGCATCCAGATCCCTCAGTAGTTGGATGAGGTTTCTAGCACAACAATTAGGGTGTTTGGCCATCCCATCACCAGAGTAGGTCAGTTCGGGCTGTATCTCGACCATTGCCAGCAGTCTGTTGTGTGGGTATCTTTGTGGATTTCTGTGGGCCTCTCTAGCACTTTGCTTCTTCCTATTCTCATGTGGTCTTCATTTACCATGGTCTCCTATTCCTTGTTCTCCCTCTCTGTTGTTGATCCAGCTGGGATCTCCCGCTCCCCCAAGCTCTCTTTCCCTCAACCCTCGCCTTTCATTACCCCCACTCATGACCAGGCTGTTCATGTAGATCTCATTCCATTTCTCTGTCATTGGGCGATCCCTGTGTCTTTCTTGGGGTCCTGTTTTCCAGGTAGCCTCCCTGGTGATGTGAGTAGCAGACAAGTCATCCTTGTTTCATGTCTAGTATCCTGCTATGAGTGAGTACATACCATGTTTGTCTTTCTGAATCTGGGTTACCTCACTCAGGATGATTTTTTCTAGATCCATCCATTTGTCTGCAAACCTCATGATGCCATTGTTTTTCTCTGCTGAGTAGTATTCCATTGTGTATATGTACCACGGTATTGTGATTTCTTAAGGAACATGTTTATCACTTTATTTGTCCAGAGCTCCATCCATATTATCCACTCATCAATCCCATAGAGTCTTCAGAGGATTGATTCCATGATCCCTATAGATACCAAAGTCTGAATGTGCTCTCATCTCTTGTATAACATTCCAGAATATTTGTAGATAACTTGAAGATATTCTTCTGTATACTTTAAATCATTTCATGGTTATTTATAATACCTTGAACAAAGTCAATGATATATAGATAGTAGTTACATTATTTAGACAATGATAGTTAAGAAATAAAAATCTGCACATGTTCAGTTATGATGCCATATAAATGTATCCTATCTTTCCCTAGTTGAATTCACAACTGAGGAAACCATAGGCAAGTAAGGCTATCTCTCTATTGATAAATATTTAATACATAGATGAAGGAAAAGCTTTTGAAAAGCTGTCTCCTTTTAATCTCCTTCATGACACTTTGTTCTTTTTGTTTTCTAAAACTCTTTATTTTTCTCTCCCTCTGAATAAGCTGTTTTCTCTTTCTTTTTCTCATATAATTTTTTATATTTGCTATAGCATAAGATTTTTATCTTCCTATTTCAGAGATCACTTGAGCTTCTAGAACTTTGGCCATTTATTCATTAATGATTTCAAGAGTATTTGTCTTTAGGAATAACTTAGTGCTTTTTCTTGAAAGGGTTCACTAATGTTTAGTTAGTTGTTGTGGGTTCCTTGTCTATTGGCTTTGTGAGAACCTTACACAATACTGAGAGAGGAAGAAAAGAGGATCAAAGTCTGTGTACATTTTCAAGTAAACCCTGGTATTTAATTATAGGGTAATTTTCAAATAGCTGTGAGTCATACATGCTAAGCACTTTAATAATGTTAGTCATTTACTCTTAGCAAGAGTCTTTCAAGGCAGGTAGATTTATTATTTCCACTTTACAAAAGAGTCTTATGAGGCTGAGAGAGAGAGAGAGAGAGAGAGAGAGAGAGAGAGAGAGAGAGAGAGAGAGAGAGAGAGAACCAGAACCAGAATTCTATCACATACCCATCTCTATCAATGTGAGTAAACTAGAAGGATACATAGTGTTTGGCTTTAACAATAGCATTTTTTGAAAACTACTTCCCCAGTTTTTCATTCAATTTCCTTCAAATAAAGTGGGGACTGAAAAAGGCCTTACCTTCCTGTGTACATTCAGTAACTGGGGCCTTCTAGGATCTTTCATTGCCTCTTCACTAGCTGTCACTCATAGTAAAACTTTGCTCCAAATTTAGCAGTAATACTTTTGTCTCGGGTACACCAAAGTGTTTTATAAGTATAAAAAGCAAGAAGACAACCCAGCCAGTGGCATAGATAACATTTCGTTGTGTGATTCCAGGCAGGACAGAGGCCTATATTGGGCTCCTCAGCAGCCTTATGAAGAGAAGGGGAAACAGATTACTTCATCATGGTAATTCTTACAGAAGAGAAACCCATGAACTGAGCATAAGCCACACTCCTCAGAAAAAGGTAAAAGCAACTGTGACTTCAAAGGTAAGTCATTCCATAGACCATCCAAAGGTTCTGACCTCTGCATAGTTTTGATCACTTGTTTCCTTCTAATCTGTGAAAGAAAAACTAACTGAATTCTGTAGTGACTTATGTCCGGAAATGTCAGGGTGTGTCTGCACAATAACAGATTTGAGGGTGTCTGTGCAGGTCTTTGTTGACATATGTATTGTAGAGGAAGGTGCTAGATCGATTTGCTTTACCAAATAAAGATGCAAGCTATGCTCATTGTCAACTTTGGATCTGACTTTCTTCTTAAAAAGAGTTGTACATGACTATTTATGGATACCTTGGGAAGTTCTGGAAATTAAGATACCAGGAGTAGAATCTTGATTCCTTGGCTAGATATGCAACCTTGGACAAACTTACCTTGTTCACATATAAGTGGAAGGTGTGAGAAGTACTATTTTGTAGGATATTATGAGGATTAAATGAAAATATTCATGTCAAATGGATAAAGGTATTTCTCCAGTGTCTGAGTGGCATTTGGTAGTACTGAGTACAAATTGTGCCCCCAAGGTTGCACTGCCTATAAAAATATGAAGTATCTAGGGCTTTGCCATGAGTCACATTTGATAATGGTTAATATATTGACTGTTATAATCAATGTAGAGTAAGCTTTTATTAAATATTAACCCTGCAATGGAGTAGAGTACAAAGAGAAAGTAGCCTGGACCTAGTTCATATGTCCCCATCACATATACATGCTTGATAGCAGAAGCCATTACCTGTTAAGCCATCTCACTGGCCATACCATCCATATTTTTTTCTTTTTCTTTTTTCCTTTTATTGAAAATAGAATATTATCTCACAGAATATATCCTGATTATGGTTTCCCCTCACTCTATTCATTCTAGTTCCTCTGTACCTCCCCTCCCAAATGGATCTACTCCCTCGCTGTCTCTCATTAGAATAGAATAGGCTTCTAAGAAATAATAATGAAATATAACAAATTAAACCACAAGATAAGACAAAAACTATCATATTGAAGTTGGAGAAAACAAACAGAAGGGAAAAAGTCCAAGAGGTGGCATAGTAAACAGAGACCTACTCATTCACACACTCAGAAATCTCATAAAAACACTAAACTGGAAGCCATTTTATATATATATATATATATATACCAAGAACTTTGCAGATCCATGCAGGCCCTATGCATGCTGCTTCAGTCTCTGTGAGTTCTTATGAGCCTTGATTATGTTGATTTAGAGGGTCTTGTTTTCTTAGCATCATTCATTCCTTCTGACATCCAATTTAGGGTTGAATGTTCCGTGGTCTCTCTCTCTTTGTGTAAAGTCTGGCTGTGGGTCTCTGTATTTGTTCATCTGCTGCTAGAGGAGGCTTCTCTGATGATGGCTGAACAAAGCACTGATCTAATGAATATAGCAGAATGTCATTAGGAGTCATTTCATCATTATTTTTTATAATAGCTGAAGCTTTTATAAGTCAAGCAATTATTCAGTATGTATTACTCAAATATTCCTTCAATCTGTGTAAAGTTAGAAACTGAGACACAGAGATTCAATAATATGCTGAATGGAGAAGGTAAAATCCAAAGCTGTGCTTGTTTGATTTTGAAGTTCAAGTCTTTTAACTGCTCTGTAAGCCTCACAACTGCTAGGTGTGCAAAGCAGAGATTATGCTCATTTCCAGCCAGGGAGTGCTTGGCTCACATTAAATGTCTTACATCAACATTGTGTAGCTTAATATCTGGAAAAGCTAGAGTAGGAATCCAGGTGTTTGGATTCTTGCTTCACTTACTTTTTTTACTATGCAGTGTTGAGAACATTCACAAGCACTTGAAGAATGGTTGGAAATATTGACTAAATACTTAAACTATTTACACTTTACCCTATTATTCATATTATTCTGATTCAAGTTATATATGCTTTTAATAATCTGTATCATCTTCTGTGTGTTAGTCAATTCTTTTGGAAGCTAAAAGTTGCTTCCCAAAGAAACAGTAGCTGAAGTAGAGATTGTATTCATAGACTAACCAACAAAATTTCCTTAACTCTCAGGGCATGGAGATACAATGTTCATACAAATTATTAATTATTAATTTTTTAAAAAGAAAATAATTAATTGCATTAGACTAGATTCTAATGACCCCTTGGTTTTGTGGACTTATGTAAGGAGATTTTCTTTCTGGGGCAATCTAATCTCAAAGCACTAGAAGTCGTGTTCACTTGGAAGAAGAAGGATAGAGGTAAATACAGAGAGGACCACCCTGTTACTCAGTGGATCATACATTAGTCCATGAAGGTCTGATTTTTTTCATCCTCCTATAGTCTTTCCACAGCAGTATAAGCACACAAGTTGCTGACCTTTGTGTGAGACAGAAGCCATATATACTCTACTAGATTACCCAGGTACCAGTCTGATTCTAAATCCTGAACACTGCAGAGAGTGATTCTTTGGAAATCATGTTTGCACCCTTTAAAGTCTAATATGTCATTGCAACCCCAACATGTAGAGTGAAGTCTGCCAGGAAAAGGATCAAAGGGCAAATCAATATCAACAGCATAAATATGAAAGGAAATTGTGTGGAGATACCACAAACTGCCTTTGTTAGAGTCTTAAATTTGTAGAGAAATCTTTTTTATTGTGTGGCTTGCCTTTTGGCAAAACAAACACATCCAAATGAGTCCCAGGGCTCCTTCATATTTCAGAACTCTTACTTACATCAGCTCACTAGTGAAAGTGAAAGGGATTGTTCTCTGTTGAATTTCTTCTTTGGAATCCTGAAGCATTCCCTAAAATATTTTAAATACTTTTTATAGTTTCTCCCCACTCACTAAGTGGTACTTTAAGCCATTTACACAAAATATTTATTTAAAAATATACAGAATAACTTATGGAGTGTTGGAACATTGGGGATTCTAGAAAGAAGGTGGTATCAAATATCACCATGTTAAAGCTGACAAAATTAGAACCATGATAAACATGTGTCTAGTTCATTGCATCTACTGAGAAGATATATTGGGTCCTTTAAGTGGTACCAGGACAATGAATGTTGCACAATGTCTGTTTCATATCTCAGAATACCACGGGCCCTTCTCTTATTGAGAATGCTGATTTGCAGAAGGTAGGAGAGTCTTAAAAGGCAGATCTCTTTTAAGAGTTGGCCTTCTCTCACCCTTGTTTTCTCTCTTTCAGTTCTCTCTCAAGCAGACTATAGAAACTAGAAGTTCATTCCTCTAAAATGGATCATAAAAACTGAAATTCCTTTCCAAAGTACAATCTGTAAAAGTCAAAAAGTTCATGTTCCAAATTTCTCTGCCTTTAAGTGTGACTCGTGGTCATAAGAGAATTCACTCACCTACCCTGCCTGAAAGTGTAGCTTCATTCCTGAAGAGTCCTGTCCTAGATTCAGCTGGGGATAGAATGCTACACACAATGGTCAGAAAGAATCTGAGTGGTAGGCACTGCAGATTTCCCCTGGGTCATTACCATGAGGTCATGCTTCAATTGTGTCTACTCACACTTCTGCATGACTGGATATTCTTTATGGGATCTAAACAATGTTCTATGAGCTTTGGGTCTAGAGTTTGAAAGGATTCTGTATCAGGCATGAGTTTTGTTGTTGTTGTTTTCCTCAGTGACCTGTGCCAGTCATGACCCCTGTAATACAGGAGAAGATGTTACTTTTCACCCCTAAACTTCAACAAATATATGCTGTTCATATTTTAAAGGTAGTCTTCAGTGCAAAGAAGTTCTAGATAACCATTCAATAATAAGAATCTTCCCTTTAGAAAGAAAAAAAGTTATAATTAAATTATAATCTCAAAAAGAATTAGACATCTTATAAAGTTGATATGGGCACCAAATTATTAGTTTAAAAATTAGAAATAAAAAGAAATTAACTTTTAAAAAATTTTCCCTTGAAGTCTCTATGACAGTGTTTCTAATTATCTTCATGATCTTTACAGATATCTAAGAATCACGCCGGCACCATTAAAAGTTAGTGACCAGAAAAATTCCCAAGAAATTAGTATAGTCTTAGTATAGTTTTGTAAGGATGGATATGATAAGAGCAAGTCTGTTTTCTAGATTCAGATAATGTCTATTTTATAGATACAGATAATGGGAACACATGACTTCCATGTAGTAATAACAAAATTCACTCATTAGATGTCTTCAAGTAGTTAATACCTTAAAAAACAACAAAATTCATTCATTAGGTGTCTTCAAGAATTTAATGCATTAAAAAGCTATGGAGTGTTGAAAATAATTTGACTACTCAGATAAATTAATGTGAATAGTACTCTTTCTACTTTTAGGCTTAGACATTCGAAATTGGATCTTTAATATAACAAAACTGTTAGTCACATTCATTATAAAAACCCCAACTAATCATATATGTGTTTCAAACATTGATTTTGATCTTTAAATTTTTAAATTGGGGCTGATGAGACAGCTTAGTGGGTAAGAGCACATGCTGTTCTTCCAGAGGATCAGAGGTTGGTTGTTAGCACCCGTTTCCAGTGGCTTACAACCATATGTAAGTCCAGGACCAAAGAGTTGATGTCTTCTTTTGGTCTCTGCATATACCCATGTACAAGTGGCATTCACTCACACAGACACAGACAGATCTCATGTATAAGAGAAAATATGCGATTATTTTCTTTCTAAGGTAATATAGTTGGTTAATATTATCAAAGTATATTTTATATGCATGGCTAAAAAGTCATAATAAAACTCATTATTTTATAAAACCACTCTATGGAAATTGTGATGGCTATTCTGTTTGTCAACTTGATTACATCTGGAATTAATGAAAATGCAAGCAGCTGGGCACACCTGTGAGAAATTGTTCTTGGTGGATTATTTTAGGTGGGAAAACCCATCCTAAATCTGGGCCACATCTTCTCATGTCAGTCCACATAAAAGGATGCAGAAGAAGAACACTTTTTCTTTTGCCTTCTTGCTCTCACTCTTGATGGCAATTTCATCTATGTTTCTGTTGAGGCAATTGACTTCTT